AATCATGACTTCAGGAATTGAAGGTTTCATAGTTGAGGGATGCTGTCTATAGCCCACCGATGAAGTAAAAGTAACTGGAGAAGAGAACTGATGTACAGATACTTCAGGAAAAAGGTCTTTAATACCCTGATTTATCCAATATGGTCCTCCATGACATGGGTTCTTTGCTTTCTTAGAGAAGTCAGCTGCTTGTAGTTGCTCCTCTGTAGAAATTATACTTGGCTCTTGTGAACCCATTTTTACATTTTTGAGTTTGTACACGCTGAAGTCAAGAGGTTTTTCTGTCTGTGCATTTATGGAGTCCTGAAACATTTGGGAGAACCGCTCAAGATTCATGTTCATAATCCTGTTTCCTTTCTGAAGAGCTGAAGACAAATCAACGGGAGCATTTAAGAGCTGTGAGTCACAATGTTTTTTTCCTGGTATCCACAGAACTTCATCTTCATTGAACAGAGGTATTTTAAAACCACAGAGCGTCACCTTTGGTTTGTTTTTTTTATGTAGAATATTTGAAATATTTTCAGTGATTTGTTCTAAAACACGGCTCTCCTCTGGGGTTGCACATGCATAAAGGTGCTTCCCAGCCCTATCAGTCAAAAGAGTGTATATATATTCTTCATCCATGTAAACGTAATAGCCACAATCTCCTGCCTCAGCCGGCCACCACATTCCCTGCTCTAACAGGGACAGCCACTGCTGGTACCACTCAAAATCTTCAAAGAACATGTCATCCTCTATATGTTCACTGGCAGCTACAGTGCTACTGAGGTCAACTGCACCTGGAGTCAAATTCAATGGCCCCTTTTTTTCAGTGAGTCGTCTGAAGAATCTTGAGTCATCTTTCAAATCTAAATGTGGTTTTTGGGTCATTTTTGAGGCATTTTTGCCATTTAGTCTAAGTAAAGTCTGACATTGACTGGCACAAATATTTTTTTGCTGGTACATCTGTTGAGAGGTTTATAGCAGTGGTTTTCTCCATGCAAGTCTTTTTGCTTCTTTTATCACCGAAACCATTTAAATTGTCACAGCCTCCCCAGGGATTCTTGTTTGTGCTACTCGTGTCAAATACAATAATATCCATATAAGAGTCTATGTGTCTCCTCCATGGACTGTTGGGTGGACTTCACTGCAGGATGCAGGTTAGCAGGTTGTTGAGAAGCTTCATTCACTAATTTGTTAGACTCTGAACTCCCGGTGCTAACTGAAGTAGTGGACTCGTCTTTGCTCTGCTTAGACATTAGTCAATCAAGGAAGCCCTTCTCTGGGTCCTTACTTTTTGTTGAAGTGTCATTTTCATTAGCTCCAGGTTTAAAAATTCCAGAAAAAATACCTGCACCACTATTACAACTATTTTTTGGTGGTTCTTTGATTTGAGAAGGAAGTTTAGATGAAGTGTCTTCCTCTGAGGCATTGCTAAATAATCCAGACAAGAAAACTTTTTTTGCTGAAACTTTTTGATCTTTTTCTGATCTGATGCACTCATACCAAACAGGCCAGAAAGGAAGCCACCTGTCTGAGAAGGTAGTGGTTGTTCAGAGGGTTTAGGGCTCTGTTGTGAGGCCAGGCTACTACTTCCAGGATGTGGTTGTTGAGGGGCACTATCTGGTGCTGTTAGCTTGTTTAAAAATCCTGAAAACATTCCACTTGCTGTAGCAGGTGGTGGTTGTGACTGTGCATTTGATTTGCTGGATTGTTGTTGATTAGGCTGACTGCCAGAACCACTTGGCTGCTGTGACCCTGCAAGAGCACTATCTGTTAGTTTTAAGAGTCCCCCAAAAAGTCCTCCTGTTTGACTTGGAGGTGGTTCAGTTGGTGGCGGCTGAGATGGCGGTGGTTGGCTCTTTGTGTCTGATTGTTGTTGACTTGGTTGTTGATTAATGTTCTGTTGTGATGGTTGCTGCTGCTGAGGCTGGAATACCTCTCCAGGTGTTGGGACAGTCTCAGGGGTGGCCAACTTCAAAAGTCCAGATAAGAAACCTCCCGACTGAGGCTGAGGTGAAGCTCCTTGAGAGGGCTCACTGGAGGCACCCTCCAATGTTACCTGCTTTGGGACATTCTGATTTACAGGATTTGGTGCTGACTGGGCAGGTGCTGTTTGGGGGTTTGAAACTGTATCACTGGCCAATTTGAATAACCCAGAGAAAATTCCAGTGCTCTGCTGTGGTTGGCTGTAGCTTTGAGCAACTGCAGGTGATTCTTGAACGGAGTTTTCTTCATTGGAGGGTTGTTGCTGTTGTGGGCCTGTTGATTGGCTGCTTGTGGTTAAACTTTCAGAGGCAGCCATTTTCAATATTCCAGACAACAGCCCTCCTGACTGAGCAGATGCAGCCGCTTGGGTTTTGGGTGCCAGTAACAGTGGAAAGTAGCCCTGAGAGTAATCCACCCTGTGGAGGTTGACCAGAACCTGCCTGGGGCTTGTTGTTACCAGATAAAAGACTGGATAGCAAGCCCTGAGACTGAGGTTGTGCCTGTGAATCATTTTGTGTCTTTGGCTGCACCTGAGTCTTTGGATGGAATTAGTCGTCTGCATTTTCATTTCGATGAACTTGGTCTGTATCCAGTGTATTTATTTAAATCTCTCCTTGATTTTCAGTAGACAGGCACTCATTAAGACATTTTACTGCAGCATCTCTTTCTGCAAATATATCTGCAGAAGCTTCGACATTGCCTGATTTTTCAGGACTCACAGCAACAGTGGGAATATTTTGTGTAGTTGCTGTTTGATGAGGCTTTGATGAGGCTGGTGTTCCAGTCTGTGGCTTTGGTGGTTCAGTTGAGCTGGCTTTGAATAGATTGGAATACCAGCCAGTATCTGCATTTCCTTTGGAAACACTTTCAAGCAGTGCAGAACGACTGGACAGTGGTGATTTAGCCCCAGCTTGGGGTCCGCCAGATCTAGGAGTATTGGGATCTTCGCCTGTTGTCAGTTTTAGAAATCCAGACAGCATACCACCTTCTTGTTTAGGCGCCTGAGTATTGACTAGAGCATCTGAGGAAAAGAAAGGGAGCTTTAATTTATTGCCAAAAGTACCAGACACATCCTCAGATTTTGGAGCCTCGGCTGGCTTAAAAATAGAAAACACTGAGGGGACCTCAGTTGGCTTGTCGTCAGGAACATTGTTTGATATGAGTGAGTTCAATGACTTTTTAAAGGGGCTAAAGAATCCAGTGTCTTCTGCGAGTGTTTGACTGGCAGGCTTTGCCTCAGTTTTACTCTCTTCTAGCTTGGACGTAACCCCTCTGGGCATGGAATCAGGTAATTCACCAGATGATTCTGTATCAGGTAAAAGCTCTACTGATCCACATCCTGATCCCCCACATGAGGACTGGTGCTCAGTTTGTGTGGCAGACCCCTCTAAAGACAAACTTTTGGATTTCTCCATAGATTCTTCTTTAGACTCTGCGTTTCCCTGAGTTATATTTGGTTGTGAAATAGTTTCAGCACTTGATTTGTCTCCAAAAAGCCTGAAAGGGCTCAATCTTCCTAGCACTGAATCAACCACTGTTTGTGTCTGACTTGGAGTGGAGTCCTGAGATTGAGAGCCACTTGAATCAGCAATGATTGTAGCATCAGTCTCTGATGTGGCACTAGCTGGTCGACTGACCTCTGGGGACTGAAATGGCAACAGCGACTGCAAAGAGAACTTCTTGTCTGCATTAGATTCCTGATTAGCAGGTGATACAACAGCAACAGGAGTTGGACTACCAGTTGATTTAGGTATGAAAGAGAACAGTTTAGAAATACCAGACTCTGACTGGGGAGGAACTGGAGATGGAGTTTTTGTTGTAGTTTCTGTTGATTCTGTATTTTCAGCTGCTGGTTTAGTATTTGTGATTGAGTTAAACAAAGAGCTCATGGCGTTTTTAACACCCGTAATACCTTGTTCCACAGCTTTTTCCTCTTTTATCTCAGCTGCTTTACCCTCAATTTTCTTTTCTTCACTCTCTGTTTCTGTTTTTGTGACAGATTTTTCCATTGATTCATATTTACTCATTTCCTCCTCTCGTCCAGCCAGATATTCTGACACAGAGTCAACTAAGTTCTGAAGTTCATCCATAGTATCATGATACTCCTTATTTGGCTTCTGCACAGGTGACAATATTTCATCTGGGCCCCTTGTGCAATCATTCCCCATGCTGCTCTGTTGTTCATTATAGTCTTGTGACCATTCATCATAAGAGGAAATATATCTTGCATTACTGTAGTAACTGTCATATTCATACTGTGCTTCCTCTTCTACAAACGCCATATCATCTAGCTCCTCTTCAGACCCAAGAGAGAACTGCATTTCATCAGATCCTGCAGACCCATATTCACTTCTTGCTCTCATCCTGGCTTCCTCTTCCTCACAATAAATTGTATAGTTCTCAAGGGTGTCTTCAAATGAGTTCTTGGCCCACATCCTGGTTTTGTACAACAGCCCCTCTGTATATGATGCTTGGTATGCCTTGCGAAGTTGCGAAATTGAAGGAATGATGGAAATTTTAGGAGGGGAAATTTCACCCTCGAAGTTTCTAGCTTCCTTATAGACCAAACGGACCTCACTGCTGCCTGTGGCTGCTCTCCTGATGGGATTTCCTGATGCATCATATTCCTCAGCCTCCTCTGGGGACATTGCATCACACTGTACTGTCTGGTAAAACCGACTGTCTTTGGAGTTGATTCTATAAATTTCACTCTTGGTGTCATCATCATCACCCCACGTTTTTCTCCAGGTAATCATCCAGTATGTTGTCATTAATTTTGTATTTGATCTCCCAGTCTTCAACTCCCATACCTGAGTCCACTGGAATAATTCTGACATCATCTGTACCACTTGAAAATCTGGTGTGCATAAAGTGAAAGTGCCAGAAGCATGGATGAGGAGAAGAATGAACAGGAAGAGAAATGAACAAAATCTTAAATTAAATTATATAGATGGATAAAAAAGAAAGACAGAAAAATGAAAATGTATGAAACAAGTAAAATTGAAATTTTTTGGAGCTAAACTGACTGTAAAAAAATTACTTTCTTGATGATTTTAATTCTTAAAATTTAGTTTAGAAGCAACTCTTACATATTATTCATAGATCATATCTTGAATATGTGTATTTTGTTTTACTGCACTGGCAGATTTTTGCACACTGCCCTTGTTTTTAACAAACTTTAAACAAGAAAACAAATTTAAAAGAAAGAAGAAAGACAGACAAAAGTATATTCAAGACATTATCTGAAAATAAGTAATAGTATCTTATTCAAGGTTGCTTCCGATAATTTTAATATTGTAAATAATAATCTTTTTTGTTTTCTTTTTTTTTTAGATAATGTGTGGGTAATGGAATATTTCAATGTATGCCAAGCTGTACATGTGTTTGTGTAATCAACATACCTCTGTTCCCTTCCTTCTCTATAATCCAAGTCATAGCTCTGGATAGAGTCTGTCCTAGACTCTTTTGATAATGCCCGATTCTGTAATCTTCGGCCAATAGGGTACTGATGTACCGAGGAATTGGGTTGAGCTGTGGTGTGGTATCGTGGAGGCCTGCTGTTTGTCTCACTGCGGTAATCACTGTCCCGGTCATCCCCAGTGCTGTCATGGTCATCAAAAGCTACAGCACAACATAATCCAGAAATGAATAAAGTGTGGTCAGGGAGGATTTCACCTAAAACTTCAAATGAATTAAATTAAATTAATGCAGAGACTCCAAAGACTATGCTAAAGCAGTGACAGTTGTGGTATATGCTATATTCCGGCATAAATTACTTTAAACTACATTTATTATTATTTCTTTTTAGCTTCATATTAAATGAGAAACTATATGAATATTTGTACTTGTAAAAGGTTCTCTCACAACACTGCATAAAAGCTAAAAGGAAATAAAAAATGGAAAAAATAAAGGTGATGGAGATGTTATTTGTCAATAACACATTTCTAAGTACAAATCACATACACAACAAATAAATGCATGAAGTAAAAATATATGTATAATGAAGGAATGATGAATAACCAAAATAGGAAAGGAGGAAGAATAGTGGAAAATTTCAGTTTGCAAATGCTCTATACTTCATCTTGTTTTATGTACACTATTAGTCATCAGCTTGGGCAGACAAACACATTCTTTATTATTACTATTTTCCAAATTTTAGAATAATGGTAAAATTACCAATGAAAATAAAATAAATAAAATTGTCATAAAATTATAGTTTTGCAACGAAAACCATATGGCACAATTAGAAATAATTTTAAGAATATAAGCATTATCGAAAGGTTTAAAGCCATGGTCAAACTTGACTTGTCTTTGAGCATATGAAATTTCTTCAGACACTGCAACAGTCATGCTCTGCAGCGTCTTTTCAAAAACTTAAATTCAACACATAACAAATAATAATAAATCTAAAATGTAAAACCATACAATCTACTCCACTTTCCTGCAATGCTGCAGTTTTACATTTCTGTTCTTTTAATTCAGATACGAGGTCATGCTGTGATGTTTTGATCTTTTGTTGGTCACACAGTTTCATGTGATATTAATTAGCAGGTCAGAGTTCACCAAACTTGAACTTTGTAATGCAGCGAAATGCAAAACTTTGCTCTGCTCTCCCACATTTGCACATGTATGAATGGAAGCCAATGGAGGGAAAAGTGTAGTGTGACCGCCCCTTAAGATGGCAAACATAAATTCAGTCTAGTGTTTCAAAACAATTGACTGGTAGTGCATATTAGACAACTTGATGTCTTAGATTCTGGTGTATTACTAATAAATATTATATATTTTGCTTAATCACTCTCAGAATCTGTTTGCATATTTGTGTAATGTAAATGATTCATTCTTCATTCGTTCTCTCTCTGTAAATTAACAAATGGTAACAGAAAGAAAGAAAGAAAGAAAGAAAGAAAGTGAAATGATGATTAGTTCTAACACACATTAAGTACATACTCTGCTGATCATTCCATCCAAAGTATGTCCAATTGCCTAGTGGTTTGGAGAAAGTTAAACAGCAGAAGATAGATGTAATGGTAACACTTTACAATAAGGTTCTATTTGATAACATTGATTAACTACATTAGTGAACATGAACTAACAATGAAATAAAAGTCTTAAGCATTTATTAATCTTAATGTTAATTTCATCATTTACTAATACATTATTAAAACCACAATTTGTATTTGTTAATGTTTAACAGACCTGTGCTAACATGAACTAAGAATGGATAGTTGTACTAACAAATGTTAAGAAAGATTCATAAATACTTTAACACTGACAATGTGCAATTCATTTGTTAGTCAATGCATTAACATTAACTAATAAAGTCTTATTGTATGTGTTACTCATGCCAAATATAATATAATATAAATAAAATATTATATTATATTATATAAATATAATATAATAAATAACAATACTATAATATATATTATATAAAATATAATAAAAAAATATATAATTTAAGATCATAAATCTACTTCTGTATTTTTTTTTATTACAAATTGCTATCAAGTATTTCAGTAAATTACTTCACAGTTGGGTAGGTCACCCAAAAATGAATATTCAGCAATTAATTACTCATATTCATGTTGTTACAAATCTGTATGCCATTCTTTTTCATGGAACAAGAATAAATGTTACACAGAATGTTAGAGATGTCATAGTATTCACTTCCACTCCATTATTGTTTTCATACAATGAAAGTAAATATTGACTATCATAGAGTCATTCTGCCTAACATCATATTTTATGTTCCAAGTAAAAAAAGAAAGTAATAAAGGTTTAAGTTAACATGAAGGTAAATAACAGAATCTTCATTTGTTGAGTGTACTATCCTTTTAAGCAAAAGTAAATCTTGACACTTGCAATATTAATACAACAAACAGAACATAAAAGAATGTCATAATCATCAGGGTTAAATACATCACAGCAGCTATAAACTACTGCCATCTACTGGCTTAAAGGGGACTCGTCACGTAATTTCATTTAATTTTTTCCCCACAGTAAAAGCTAAAAAGAGAATACTTACAGCACTGTGAGGGCACTGAGGGCAGCTGTCTTCTCTGTGCTTCATCTTGCAGTGAATACTATAAAAAATTGATGGGAAATTAACAAAATGGTTAAAAGTCATGATAATATACAAAGTATTTCAGCTAACATCAGCTTTTCTGTGTCTGTTTTCATAAATGAGGTGAATCAAAAAGCCTAAGATAGAGGCTTACTTAAACTTGTTTTACACTGGCTAAGACAACAATAAACCATGTCTGCTAGGAATCATTTGTAACTAATCAGATGTGATGTTCATGTGCTCTAATCTTCCCCTCCATTGGTTATACAGCACATCTTAGTGTCTTTTGACAGTAGAACTGTAAGGCCCTTGCAGTGCTCAGTGCTCACAGCAGGAGGCAGTAAAAGATCATTCTTTTAACAAAACTGCAGAATTCCAGAATTTGTTGGTGTACCAATGCAATGTTGCTGAGATCAAAATACCAAATACCTGATACAATATACAAATTCAACACAACCAAAATCACTATGCATGAAAATACAAATCTGAAGTTTATGAGGTATCTTTTTATATATTTAAGAAAAGGTTCTGAGTTTCAGGCAACAGCTGAAAATGAATTTAAAAAACCTATACAGATTTCCATTTGTTGGACATGAAAAAAAAAATCATATCTCAAATATAAAACTCACTCATTGATTCACTCATTGAATCTGAATAATGGTAACTCTTGCCCAGGTCCATCAAACTAACATGTTACTTCTACAGTACATATTCACACATCTCTACTCCATCTAAAAACACACAGTCTGTACCTCATCATGTATCCTCATAGAGTTGATGTGCTCCAGCTTTTTAGTCCAGTACTGGGCCTCGTCGTCAGGGATATCTGCACAAGCAAACAAATAATACAGAAATAAGGGGAAAAGAAAGTCTGATATCTTTAGATAAAACTCCAGCTTCCACTGTTCCAATGCACCTCTCACTCCTCCCTTCCAGTTTTTCTGGCCACACAGTACTCAATTCTGTATTCACAGTGTTTAATATGGCATGAGACACAGAGGTTACTGCAGGAAAATCACAAATACATCAGCACACTTTGCTTCCACTCTTTTTTCCCCTTAGATGTTCTCCATTTACGTCTCCTTACTTCTCCCAATTCATTTAGATTGTTTATATCATACAGTGGCCCTAAAAAGTACTTGAACACTTAAGTCACTTAAAAAATTATGAATTTCTTTTTGTGGCCACTGTATATATGGTAGTTAAAGGAACTGCTTAGAATCTGTTCTAAGAGGTTTGAGAAAAGGTAAATCTAAAAATAAAATAAAATAAGGAATATTCTATTCTACTAAATTCTATTCTATTATACAGTATGTGGACTACCGAAAGGGAGCTCAAAGCGTGTGTCCAGCAGCACTTGGTGAGGAGTGGGGTTTTTAGTGCCATATATCTCATCTTCCTTCATCAGAACCTCAGAATCCAGTGAGGTCCATTCTCCAGGCCCCTCCTAAAGAAAGAGAGAGAGAGAGAGACCTGTAAGACTCCATGCCAGAGACTTTGACTGTATTTGTTTCACAAGAGTATGTGCATTTTCCATTTATAAATTCATGAGGGTCACATTAACTAATTCAACTACATTTTTATATTTTCTGCAGAAAATGTGAGTGGCCGCCAACACACCTCTAGGCTGAATACCAGTCCATCACCCATAATAACGCTTTCTCAAGTGAAAACATCTATCCCTTGTTGTCCTCTCACATCAAAATCCACTGACAGATTTTAGAAGTGTTTTGAACTGCTTTCATTTGTAAACAGTTGCATCTGTGCATTTTTCTTTCTTGATTCAGATGATACAACTTTTTCAATGAAGAAAGCAATATTATATTATATCATATATTTTAGCCAGAAGCAACGGCTTGAAGTTATAAACATCTTAATGAAGCTTTTTGCTTCACAAGATATTCATTGATGGACTGGAGTCATGTGGGTTACTTGTGGATTATTGTGATGTTTTTATCAGCTGTTTGGACTCTCATTCTGACGGCACCCATTTACTGCAGAGGATCTATTGTCAAGTGATGTAATGCTGAATTTCTCCAAATCTGTTGAAGAAACAAACTCTTCAACATCTTGGATGGCCTAAGGGTAAATTTTCAGCACATTTTAATTTTGGGCTGAATTATTCCTTTAATTGACTGCCTTTGACTGACACCCTGGGGTTATTCCAGAACTGTCCAGTTGGAAGCAATTCAGGCATTGTTTTCATCATTCTCACCATTTGCACTGCATTCGATTTTAGAATTTGAACTGCTTTCATTTGTAAACAGTTGCATCTGTGCATTTTTCTTTCTTGATTCAGATGATACAACTTTTTCAATGAAGAAAGCAATATTATAGCAATATTATATTATATTATATATTTTAGCCAGAAGCAACGGCTTGAAGTTATAAACATCTTAATGAAGCTTTTTGCTTCACAAGATATTCATTGATGGACTGGAGTCATGTGGGTTACTTGTGGATTATTGTGATGTTTTTATCAGCTGTTTGGACTCTCATTCTGACGGCACCCATTTACTGCAGAGGATCTATTGTCAAGTGATGTAATGCTGAATTTCTCCAAATCTGTTGAAGAAACAAACTCTTCAACATCTTGGATGGCCTAAGGGTAAATTTTCAGCACATTTTAATTTTGGGCTGAATTATTCCTTTAATTGACTGCCTTTGACTGACACCCTGGGGTTATTCCAGAACTGTCCAGTTGGAAGCAATTCAGGCATTGTTTTCATCATTCTCACCATTTGCACTGCATTCCCCACCCACCTCAGCTCCGGGCATGACTCAGATGGTCTTAACTTCTTGTTTGAAACAAGATGGGAGTGGCACTTTCATGCCTCACCAGATAGATAGCTGAGATGTGCGACTGTTGAGGGCATATTCTCTTCATTCCGATTGGCTGGTGGTGCCCACTAACCTCATCTGATTGGCGTATGGTGTTAAGTGGGATCCATGCTGTTCCTATCAAGGTGTCCCAGATGAGCCCTTTATTCCACACCTCCACAACCAAACCCAGGTCCAGACGATTAATCTCACTTGGGCCACAGATAGAGATACAGAAATAGAGATCAGACCATCATCAAACATGAAGAAGAAATGCACCAATTCTGAAATCTCCAAATTCACCCACACCTCTCTGTGAGTTCAAGACACTTCATCAGTGTCCTTTAGGGGAGAGTCTAAAAATAGCTTTACCAATGGTGGGTGAATTGAGAAAATGTACCGGGCATAAATATTTCGTACAGATCATAAAAATTGAATTTTGATTTATTAATGGTACATTTTTGGAATGGAATTATGTGGTTGGGTTTTCTTGTATATTGGTGGCTAACAGTATAGTTAATTGTGTCTCTTATAACATCAAGTTTAAGCCGCCTAATGTTTGCTTCAGTAGATCATCCCTATGTACATACATACATGATTTCATATCTGTAAAAATGTGCATATACTTATTTGTTCATGTTGTTTATGTCAGAGTTAAAAGTATAGTTCACCCAAAAATGAAAACTTTTGCTTTATTTACTCTTTGGTGTGCCATTCCAAACCTGCATGACTTGAAAAATTCACATGACCCACTTTAAGACAGTTACATGGTGCTTTTATCCCCCAATCAGCCCCATCATTCACTTTACCGGATTTAAAAAGTGAATAAATAAATAAAAAAATTAATAATGATAAAAAAAGAAAGTAATACGGGTTAGAAACTAAATGAGGGTGGGTAAATAATGACAGAATTTTCATTATTTAGGGGTGAAATAATTAAACTTACTCAAAGTCTATTTTGGACCCTGCTTTAGGGTTAACACATGGATCAAAAGAACGGACCAAAAGAAAGAAAGGGGGGTCAGATTGTACATTTTACATCCTAGCCTGTACATTTTAATATTAGAAACATTACTAATAGAAATAGTTAGATGCCAGATATATTATAATTTTTTAAGCAATGACTCTGGATAATTTATTTTAAGAATAGAGATCACGGTTTGCCCAAAATTCTGAAAATAAAACATTAGACAACCAAACAAAATAATATGTAGGCTAATTTACTTGTGTCAGACTTGTGTTGTGTTTTGTTCCCCATGTGCTCCCTGTGTCCCAGTGTTTATGCCCATATTTGGTTAGTTTCCTGTTCCTGTCCTGATTATGTTGATTTAATTCCAGGTGTTCCCCGTTTAATTCCATTGATCCCATGTGTGTCTCGTCATCCCCTCGTCTTGTCATGTGTTTAAATAGTGTTCCCTGTTTTTAGGTCAGCGTCCGGTATTGTTCATGTCTACATGAGTTTTCCGTGTTTCCTTTAAGTTATTAAAAGTCTCTGGATTGATGTACTCCACGTCTCCCTCCGTTCCTTGTTCCGCACTCCACTCAGTAGTGCAACCGTGACAATTTGAGGTTCTGACAAAATGTTTTATTTAATGTTATAAATTAGTCTATTTACAGTGGGGAAAATATTTATTTGATCCCCTGCTGATTTTGTAAGTTTGCCCACTTACAAAGAAATGAAGGGTCTGTAATTTTTATGGTAGGTTTATTTTAACAGATCTGTGATGCTGTGTCCCGGCCGGAGCGATGAGACAAAATCATTAAAACGCATTTGTTGCATCCAGTGGGGACGGATTATAATATATATAATAATAATAATATAATACATATACTGTCTTTTTACGCGTTGCATCGCACCGCGTAAACATAAAACCATGTCTGCATTTGTGATCAGAGAAATGACAAACAACAAGCGCTACTCTACACTGCTCAAAACTCGCGTTTGAATCGTCAGTGGCAAATTCTTTAATATAAAAAAGTAAGAATGATCATGAGAAAGGTGAGGGATCAGCCCCGAACTACACGGGAGGAGTTTGTTAATGATCTTAAGGCAGTTGGGACCACAGTCACCAAGCAAAACATTGGTAGCACACTACGCCGCAATGGACTGAAATCCTGCAACGCCCGCAAGGTCCCCCTGCTCAAGAAGACACATGTACAAGTCCATTTAAAGTTTGCCAATGAACATCTAAATGATTCAGAGAAGGCTTGGGAAAAAGTGCTGTGGTCAGATGAGACCAAAATTGAGCTCTTTGGCATTAACTCAACTTGCCGTGTTTGGAGGGAGAGAAATGCTGACTTATGACCCCAAGAACAGCATCCCTACAGTCAAGCACGGAGGTGGAAACATTATGCTTTGGGGCTGTTTTCTGCTAAGGGTACAGGACGACTTCACCGCATTGAGGGGCAAATGGACGGGGCCATGTACTGTAACATCTTGGACGAGAACCTCCTTCCCTCAGCCAGAACACTGAAGATGGGTCCTGGATGGTTCTTCCAGCATGACAATGACACAAAACATACCACCAAGGCAACAAAGGAGTGGCTCAAGAAGAAGCACATTAAGGTCATGGAGTGGCCTAGCCAGTTTCCAGACCTTAATCCTACAGAAAATCTGTGGAGGGAGCTGAAACTTCGAGTTGCCAAACGACAGCCAAGAAACCTTAAGGATTTAGAGAGAATCTGTAAAGAGGAGTGGACCAAAATCCCTCCTGAGATGTGTGCAAACCTGGTGACCAACTACAAAAAAACGTCTTGGGGATCAAATACTTATTTCACTCACTGAAATGCAAATACATTTCTAGCCTTCATAAAATGTATAAAATGTTATTTTTTTGTTGGTATTCTGTCTCTATACGTTAAAATAAACCTATACCATAAAAATTACAAAAATTACATACCTTTGTAATTTGGCAAACTTACAAAATCAGCAGGGGATCAAATTAATATTTTCCCCATTGTAAAAATATTTATTAATGTAAATTAATTCAATATGTAAAAAATAATTTGAAATAAATGAATGAAGACTTGTTTTTGAACGAATATCTTGAATGAATGATTCAGACATCAAATACATTTTAAAAGTCACTGGTCGCCACCTACTGGCATAATGTAATATATCTAACTTCTTTATTTGAAGCATAACATTAGTTCCAAAGGTCAATTACTCAATTTGATCGCAGCTATATCTGGACTATAAACTTTTATCCCAATACTCTCATTATTATTTAATGTTTGCAATAGAAATATAGCTTACTGAGTAGACTATTTGTGAAGCGGTTTCAAACAAAGCTTACATGATAAGCGCAGCTCTCTCTGGATCAGCAGCTGCGCGAAAAGCAGGTTTAAATATTCTGATGTGATTGTAATTTCAAAGATTTAACTAATGGAC